AACACTTGACAAGCGAAACACTATTTTGAACGACTGGCCTCAGATGATAGTCATATAGTATAGCTGTTTATAAAAGTGTGTGATCTCATTAATATGCTGATGGCTATGGAGACCTAGCGATGGGACGTCAGTCAGCTATTACATTTTTTCCTCTATATATTGCCGCTTAAAACATTATCGTCTAAAAAATTGATTCTTTGTCGTAAAAAACGGGTCAGAAAGTGTTCATTAAAAAACGAACCTCGGATTCGAGTTCCTCGACCTCGATTACCCTTCGGTCAATCCTTACTCGACAACAAAAAAAAATTCATTACTTAATTAGTTAATTACCTAATTAGCTAATTGGAATTTCGAGAAGCTAACCTCGGATTCGGATTCCCCGACCCCGATTGCCCTTCGGTCAACCCTTATAAAAAAATATCTTTTTGGAAAAAAGTGAACCGTTGTCGCAAAAAACGAACAAAAAGTTTTTTCGAGAAACTAACCACGGATTCGAGTTCCTCGACCCCGATTACCCTTCGGTCAACCCTTCCTAGCCAGAGATATAGATTGCTTTTTCGTAAGTGTAAAGTACGTGAACGGACAAACGTACGGACGAACGTACGGACAAACGTACGGACGAACGTACGGACAAACGTACGGACGAACGTACGGACAAACGTACGGACGAACGTACGGACAAACGAACGAACTTTAGCTCAAATTCTGTGTATACCCTCCTTTCAGTAGAGGGAATATAAAATGAAAAAGCAATATCAAATTAATTATTACATATGAATCTTTTCAGTCGAGGGTAATGCGAATCGATCTCGACAAGCGTTATTTATTTCTCTCAATATCTGAATTTGAATTCATTTGTACTTAAGAGACATTTTGAAAGTATTTCGATAAGAAAAACTAAAATATTTTTCTATAAATATCATTTTAATTAATATCTTATCTCATTCTCATCGTTCATTCGGATTAATATTGAAGGTAAAATCAACCAAAAAAATAATAAAATTCGTTAGGAATTGTTTTAATCATATAAATTGAAATTAGTTATTAAAATCTTTGGTTATGAAATATCTATTTATACAAGTAACGCTCATCCACTGGATTTGCTGACCTTTTCTGAAAGACTTTTCCGAATGCTGAACACATTCAGAGACTTCGAAAGAGGAAAAACGCACTGTGATTGCTACTAGTGTTCAACTGAATCATCGCACTATGTCACACACTAGAATGAATAGGATGCAAAAGTCTTTTTAGGAATCAGATCGACTAGCCATTTGTTAGTGAATAATTCTCCAGCACTAACTATGTTGACTGGAAAATTCATCGCTCAACGACTAGTCAGACGGCCACTCACGACCAGCCATTGATCTTTGTCATCTGTTTTCACATCACGCGCATGGAAATTTTCATAAATGCTTTACTAAGTCACTCATCGACGGACGATACACAGTAGACTACTTGAAAATTTTGAACATTCGCTTGTGTCTTCCAGCGATAAACCGATTCTTTTCTCTCCTGTCAACAAAATGATACTTTGTCGAATATTTTCATTGAGGAATATCCATTCGTCAAATCCCTTTCAAAATTATCTGAAGCCTGGCAGGGTTATTCTAAACGTACACTTTAGGTTTAATTTAGCATTTAAACGCCTAGTCGTTCGTCGACCTCTCTCCGGTCGGTCACTCACGGCTAGCCGTTACCATGCTGTCTCTGTTATTCCTTTCGCCTTTGATCAACTTCCAAACTGAACGATTGGGTTTTCTTTTATTGTCGCTTCGACAGTCATGATCTTCTATTCATTCGACTACCAAAAGAAGCTAGATAAGAAAGTCTTATTATATGACTTGCTTCGAAAGGAACATCTTTCATAGTGCTGCATGAGTTCAGAATATACTGTTTCTACAGTCCACCCGTCTGTAGTTACTAAGATGGAATTCCGCCGACGGATATATGACTTTGCGAACTACTTCTACTAAATTCCCATGAAAGGACATGATGTAAGTAGCCTACAAAGCAAAGATGATACTAAGCTCATATCCCTTTCTTGGATTTCTTCAATTAGAAACATCATTATATACAATGCATTAGATCTTTTCGTGTAAGTTCTTGAGCTACTATCTTTGTACGCATGACGTCCGTGAATAGCGTTCAGCTCACCCAGCTTCTACAAAAGATTTCAGAACAGATAAAGAAAAAATATCTCTTTTGTAAAGAGGCAGGAACAAGCCCAGGCTCATTGAATAAGACGAAATTTACCCTCAAATTCGAATATCCCGACGTCAGAAATCCTTCGGTCTACTCCGAAAATGGGTGTTAATAAGTCGTGGCTAGTTAATGAAAAATTAATAATTAATTAAGCAACACTAACCTCGGATTCGTGATCCTCGACCTCGAAACCCTCCGGTCAACCACTATAAAAAAATATCTTTTTGCAAAAAAGTGAACCGTTGTCGCAAAAAACAGGACAGCTAGTTTTTACGGAAAAACTAATATCGGATTCGTGATCCTCGACCTTGATTACCTCAGGTGGATCATTTCCGTATGGTTATCTCTATGGTTTCATTGGTTTATAAAAAGTTGCAACCTGATTGGATTGGACAAACTCACAAACTTTTAGGTTTTGAGCCACCGATTTTAGAACGCTATAACCCTTTCTTTCAGAAAAGGGAACTAGGAGAGTAGTTGAAAAGATAACGATTATAATTGCAAAGAAATACAATACTCGCGAGCACTAATGGGCTTAATTGCTTAATTGAGAATAGATAAAAGAACTTGAAATAATTAGTGAACAGAGATGATGTAGCTGGCGAGAAGATAGGAAAGCGGGGAGAGGGTAAAATATGAAAGGAATGCGTGTATAATCTTACAGACCTAAATCAAGGAGTGAGGTTACTTCTGTTTGCAATGTTCGAGTGAAATATGTTTTGTGTTCAACAGAGCTCTTCTCTTAACTTCTTTCGAATCAATGATATGCTTGCAACTTTTCTGTGTTTGCCTTATCGCTGCAATGAAATATATCCTGAATTACATTTTCTGCTATTTGGTGAATAACAATTCACAATTCTCAATCAAATTTTCGGAGACGTGTGAGACTCCAATCTATTTCGGTTAACGTTCTACTTCCAGCAATTCTTCTGACCACCTCTTTATTCATAACGGGAGATAATTGACTACGAATAGAACAAGATTTTCTTGTTCAGACACTTCATTGTTTTTATCCACTGTCAAATGGAGTCGGTGTAATATAGTCCATGAGCCCGAGAGGGTCTCTACTGTTACACGAAATAGTGTTCTTGCTACGTTCTCACAACATTCACCTTGTATTAGATGATTCTTGTGTTGCCAACTGAAAGGCGCTTCATCAGTTATTTCCATTAATGGATTCAGTTCAATCATCCACACTTTCATCGAATGAACCTTATCACCTGCTACTTCGATAGAAGGCTGGACAAGGATCTTAAAACAATCATGAAAGTCCACTCACCATCTCCAGTCAATCCAAATTCAATGAAATAATCTTGTGATTGGTATGCGCTTAGTTTACCCTTCACAGATTCATTAAAAATTGCATTAATTCTAGCAAAGGTTTGCTTTGTCTATTGGTAGGCGCCCAAAAAAGAGATGACACAATTGTGGATGAAAAAAGCCATGCAACGCCATGTTAACATCAATCGGTGTGTATGGTAGGAAAACAATATTTTCTTAAAACAAATCATCAGAACGATCTTACGCTTCTGTCGCCAATCATAACTGTGCACAATATATCTACAGCCCATGCTATCCACAGTGTGAAAAGCCTTGAAATGTTAAATTCTTTTCTGGAACATAAGTTATCTACAGCTATCTTTTGACGACAAAAACAACTTTTCATTTAATTTATTTCATGAAACATACACTATCTGACTGAGAGAAGAAACGACGATTCAGAAATGATCTTGACATGAACACTCTCCATTGGAAAAATGATGAATTCGATTTGCGTCCCGAATGATGATTTCACACCGACGCATTTTCGTTATGAGTTTCGTAGCCGCATCTAAGAAAAACACAACTATGACTGAATTTCAGTGCCAATATTTTGTTCACTTACGACAATCACCACAAACACGAAGATTTTTACTGATTTGTATGATGGAAGGAGGTGGTTGTTGAATGAAGTTGAATGCAATCGCCAACTTTTCACTATGACCACACAACACACTTTCCACTGTTTCATCCTCTTTCACTGGACGAGTGATCCAACTGCTGTCGAATATGTGACCATGTTCACGGAGCTCACACGATAAACGTTGCAGTTCTTCATAGATCTCTTTTGATTGAGGATGAGAATGATCATGAGCTTTGAATCGCTAAAAAGAAGAATAGCGCAACGAAAATCAACTTCACCTCTCAGCTCCGTAACGTTTTCAAACAAATCCTACCACCAATTGGTTGTTCACCGAAGTCCAAGATAAGCCAACTTTCACATTGTATCCAAACTGTTTGATTCTATTGGTTCGGATATCTTCTGCACGATGATGATCACCAATCGACGAATAAATGTTTGACAAGAGAACGGAACCAGCTATGAGTGTGTTTTTCTCATCAGGAAACAGTTGTTGCATTTTCTTGTAGATTCGATTAGACAGATTCGAGTCACGAACATTCCGTGCTCCAGATAATAATGCCGCTAAAATGAAATGTGAATGAAGAGATTGATCAAGAGTTTTCTCTATATTCGTAATGCTCACTGTACATAGCGGACGAAGGTGGATTTGTCTTTTCATAGTCTTCGATGATTGATTCTGCTTCATCAAACATTGCCAAACGACTCAAACAATCAACCTAACACATCAACATATATGGTCTCATTGAGATGAGGTCAAACAAAGAAACAAACCATTGTGGTGACAATCTTTGTTGTTTTGTGAGGTATCTGATCGAATATGTGACGACATTCATTTAACAAACCGGCATGAGAACACGCATTCAACGCACACACGTTTACTACTTCGTTACACAAATCAGAAGGAATTCTTCTATACAGTTCGACAGCCTCAACACCCATCCCGTTCAATCCATAGGCATTTACTAAAAAGATCAAATATACAATTATTCGTTCATGAAACATATATGTTCAGCTAAACATACTCATTGAACTATATGTCACCATATCTGGATCATCCAGTGATTCAAATACTTCCCTACTTTTTTCTATTGAACTACTTTTGCCCTGAACAAAATCAAAACAAACATACTTTCATCAGTTGTCACTAGAACGATGTTTTCTACTGGATCAACAACACTTACCCACATCGAAATCAGTGCAGTTTGAATATTTCGACTACTTTTCATATGACTAGGTAACTGATTAGCAACCGACTGAGATACCGAGCGTATGGCAATTTTTGCACAAACACCGATCATTGAAAGAAATACAACTTCATTTGGAACAATTTGATCACTTTTCATTTGATCAAACAGCTGAAAACACTTGTCCAACTCGTCCAATTGACTGTATCCATTGATCATTGCATGATAAGTGAGAGCACTTTTTGTTTTGACTTGACGAAACAAACGTTCAGCATCATTGACCAGATCGAATTTCATCAACATGTGAATGGCTGATGTGATGACGATATTATTGTTATAATAGGACTTGTTCATCTTGCGCAGAAGTTCTTTTCCTGTTTGTAATGCTCGATCATTGGATAGACGTGTGCATGTGCTGAACAGAATTGTATGCATAACTTCATCCACAGCCCTGGGCATATTAACATGCAAATCCAACACTTTTTCAAACATTTCATTATCGTGATAACCTTAACAAATTTGATAAAGTTGAATCGAATCGGTGTTGTTTATCAATCGAAAAGTTTTACTCACCTTTCATCATAGCACCATAAGTGTAAATTGATTTGTATTTCATTTGGTGAAACAGTTTCTCAGCCTCATCGACGTTTCCAAATTTCATCAGCATAAAGATCGTCGAGTTCATCACTTTTTCAGAACCTTTCAAATCTTCAGGTAAATTGTCGATTAACTGCTTTCCAATTCTTCTCGCACGATCATTCGTAAGCTGAGAGCAAGAGCTTAAAACCATCGCGTAGATCGCTTGGTTCGCAACGAATGGTAATGTCTCAAATAGATCCAATGTTTTCTCGAACTTTTTATTATCGTTATAACCTTAACAAATTTGATAAAGTTGAAACGATTGGGCGTTTTTCATCAATCCAAAACTTTTACTCACCTTTCATCATAGCACCATAAGTGTAAATTGACTTGTGTTTCATCTGGCGAAAGAGCTTCTCAGCCTCATCGACGTTTCCAAAATTCATCAGCATAAAGATCGTCGAATTCATCACGTTTTCAGAATCTTTCAAATCTTCAGGTAAATTATCGATTAACCGTTTTCCAATTCTTCTCGCACGACCATCTCTAACCTGCGAGCAAGAGCTTAAAACCATCGCGTAGATCGCTTCGTCTGCAACGAATGGTAATGTCTCAAACAGATCCAATGTTTTCTCTAACAGTTTATTATCGTTATAACCTTAACAAATTTGATAAAGTTGAATCGAATCGGTGTTGTTTATCAATCGAAAAGTTTTACTCACCTTTCATCATAGCACCATAAGTGTAAATTGATTTGTGTTTCATTTGGTGAAACAGTTTCTCAGCCTCATCGACGTTTCCAAATTTCATCAGCATAAAGATCGTCGAGTTCATCACTTTTTCAGAACCTTTCAAATCTTCAGGTAAATCGTCAATTAATAATTTTCCTATCCTCTTCGCTCGATCATCACATATTTCAGAACATGCCTTTGATACCATCACAAAAACACCTTCGTCTAACTTCATTTTGTTCTGTTCATACAAATTCAACACTTCTTTCGACTTTTTCATCGATATCAGCCCTAAACATCAGAACATATTTATTTTTCAAGCAGTTAAATAAAAATCTACCTCCGAACAAAGTTTTATAAAGTGGATTCGTCTTCACCGGAATTGAGTTAAACAAGCCGATTGCACACTTCAAGTCACCGGATTTCACTTCAAATAGAAACAACTTCTTATTTTCATTGTCTTGCGGTCATATGAGAGTGTCACACAAACGCTAATATTTTAGAATGTTCTCTTCGAAAAGTATGGGAAATGGATCATGAAACAGTCACAAGAGATGAGAAAACTGTTTCATTCTGATCTTTGCCACGAGTCAGCACGTCTCTCCTTCACATCCTGTCGTTTGTTTTCACTCACTGTAGAAATGAACAAGTGATGTTTGAATGAAAGGATTGTTGAGAGATTTGGGTGAGAGTTGTCGAACGATTTCAAGTCCACGTCGATAGTCTGGCAAATTACTGCACGCTTTGAGTGCCATGTTCAGAGCGAAATCATCAGCAGCGTGTGATTGCTTATCAAAAATGTCGAGAGCATGTCGATATCGTTTGGAATCAATGAGTTTCTTCATTTGTACATTTAACGTAGTTGAGAAATGACGAGTAGTGACGAAGGATGAGATTTCATTTAACGGTAGAAAGGGACACCGAATTGTCAGTGAGCATTTACCACAAAACATCGTACAAGCTGAATTCAATCTAGAAAAGTGAGAATCAGAAAATGATTTGTGCTGAATTGCTGTTAAAGAAGAAGAAGAGAATTTGAATGTTCATCAGTGAACGGAGAGCATGAATTGAAACAGCTTTTCTTCTTTGTTCGAATTGATTGTTAAGTAATACACCTCTATTTAGATCGATTTTAGATATGGAACAGTTTGATATTCTGTCTGAGGCGAAACGCCATTACATATGTCTACAAGAGATATGCTATAAGACTGATTGAATCTTACCAGAATACTTCAAATGATTTCAGTCCATGGTTTATCTATGTATTTCGTTTGGTTTGGTTTGTATGTGCGGTGCAGAGAAATGAGTTTCGATAGATGCCCCTGCTAACTGCATTGGATATTGGAGCTCATGAATAGTTGATTTCAATTGAACGTCTAGTATGCGAATTGAGTTGTTCATCTTGGTTTGACCGAGATCTGTACCTCGATAAATCAAAGAATCTAGCATCACACGCTGCGACCCAATATCATTGTCAAGGTTACTTTTTTTTAGTTTATGCTCAGATTTATTTCCTTACGTCGTTTCGCTCGGAAGCGCTCACGACTTTTTGTAATATTGAGATGAACGCGTACAAAAAATCAAGCATAGTTACTTGGCATAAAAAACAAACATTGAGCGAGAGTAAGACAATTCTATACGTTATAGCGATGGACTTGTTTAGAAGAGACAAAGGGAACAAAAGAGAGAAGAAAGTTAAAATTTAAAATAGAAAGTAGATAAAAGGCGAGAAAGGGAATGCACATAGAAAATGCTTTGCTTGAGAGAGAGTTATGCATATAAAACTGATGAGAGAAAACAGAACATGTAGTTACGTAATTTAGTTTTTGCATGCAAAGTTAAGCTGTCTCCATTCCATTATGCTATCAGATAAAGAAAGAAGGGGAAAGGGCTTAAAGAGTCTATACTTCTTGTAGTTCCTCCTTAACTAGCTGGTTATTTCTATCTCTCGTGTATATGATAAATGGTTGGTCTTTTGTTTCGTTCTGCCCTTTTTTCAACTGCTTCTGTGTATGCGTATTTTTTTAAGTTTTCCAGAGCTGTATGCGGATGTAGTAGCAGCCTATGATCATAAAGATGCTAAGGATCCCAATGATAACTAATTTTGCTACGTTTGATCAGTTGTTCAGATTAAACTTATTTTGCTTCTTAGCATTGCCATCACTTCAGCTTGGTGGTTCTCAATCTGTACATTGCAATTTTGATTACTGCCAAAGATCGCCCAACATGACTTCCATGTGCAGCCGAGGCTGTAGACTATGAAATACATACGCCACTCCATGATACTTGTATTTATTTTTTGCGCTTCGAAAGGACGAGTGGCTGATCCTGATAAGCAATCTAAGCAATATCTCTTGTGTGTGAGTATTTTGTAGTATTTTTTTCCTTCTCGCTTCTTCTCCACTAGTTCTCTCCTCTTTTTCTTCTTCCCTTTGTTATCCTTTTCTTTGATTTTAATACTCTTTTGAGTACGTGATTTTATTCTTTTACAAAATCTACAAGTAACGCTCATCCGCTGGATTCGTTGACCTTTTCCTGAAAGACTTTTCCGAATGCTGAACACATTCAGAGACTTTGAAAGAGAAAAAACGCACTGCCATTGCTTCTAGTGCTCAACTGAATCATCGCACTATGTCACACACTAGAATGAATAGGATGCAAAAGTCTTTTTAGGAATCAGATCGATTAGCCATTTGTTAGTGAATAATTCTCCAGCACTAACTATGTTGACTGGAAAATTCATCGCTCAACGACTAGTCAGACGGCCAACCATTGACCTTTGTCGTCTGTTTTTCTATTTTCATATCACGCGCATGGAAATTTTCATAAATGCTTTACTAAGTCACTCATAGACGGACGATACACAGTACCCAGGTCAACAAATCCGATGCTGGATCCGATCGGATCTTACCGAATCCGACCATCCGACAAAATCCGATCGGATTCCTGGAAACGGAATTGCATTGGAATCCGACTAGAAAAATCCCGTCGGTTGTTGCAAATTTTATGAGCGATCTTTCTAGCTATTTTCTATGATGACCCTTAGAAAATCCAGGAAATCCATGTTTCGAATCCGACGAGATCCGACGTGGGTTCCGATCGGATCCGAGACCGTCGGAATCCAATGCGATTCCGTCACCAGGATTTCATCGGATCCGTCGAATTCCTGTAGGATTCGATAAAATTCAGTATCGGATCCGATGGGATCCGGTGGGATCCGAGTATGGGATTGTTAGACCTGGGTAGACTACTTGAAAATTTTGAACATTCGCTTGTGTCTTCCAGCGATAAACCGATTCTTTTCTCTCCTGTCAACAAAATGATACTTTGTCGAATATTTTCATTGAGGAATATCCATTCGTCAAATCCCTTTCAAAATTATCTGAAGCCTGGCAGGATTATTCTAAACGTACACTTTAGGTTTAATTTAGCATTTAAACGCCTAGTCGTTCGTCGACCTCTCTCCGGTCGGTCACTCACGGCTAGCCGTTACCATGCTGTCTCTGTTATTCCTTTCGCCTTTGATCAACTTCCAAACTGAACGATTGGGTTTTCTTTTATTGTCGCTTCGACAGTCATGATCTTCTATTCATTCGACTACCAAAAGAAGCTAGATAAGAAAGTCTTATTATATGACTTGCTTCGAAAGGAACATCTTTCATAGTGCTGCATGAGTTCAGAATATACTGTTTCTACAGTCCACCCGTCTGTAGTTACTAAGATGGAATTCCGCCGACGGATATATGACTTTGCGAACTACTTCTACTAAATTCCCATGAAAGGACATGATGTAAGTAGCCTACAAAGCAAAGATGATACTAAGCTCATATCCCTTTCTTGGATTTCTTCAATTAGAAACATCATTATATACAATGCATTAGATCTTTTCGTGTAAGTTCTTGAGCTACTATCTTTGTACGCATGACGTCCGTGAATAGCGTTCAGCTCACCCAGCTTCTACAAAAGATTTCAGAACAGATAAAGAAAAAATATCTCTTTTGTAAAGAGGCAGGAACAAGCCCAGGCTCATTGAATAAGACGAAATTTACCCTCAAATTCGAATATCCCGACGTCAGAAATCCTTCGGTCTACTCCGAAAATGGGTGTTAATAAGTCGTGGCTAGTTAATGAAAAATTAATAATTAATTAAGCAACACTAACCTCGGATTCGTGATCCTCGACCTCGAAACCCTCCGGTCAACCACTATAAAAAAATATCTTTTTGCAAAAAAGTGAACCGTTGTCGCAAAAAACAGGACAGCTAGTTTTTACGGAAAAACTAATATCGGATTCGTGATCCTCGACCTTGATTACCTCAGGTGGATCATTTCCGTATGGTTATCTCTATGGTTTCATTGGTTTATAAAAAGTTGCAACCTGATTGGATTGGACAAACTCACAATCTTTTAGGTTTTGAGCCACCGATTTTAGAACGCTATAACCCTTTCTTTCAGAAAAGGGGAAAACAGAATAAAAAATGACTTTATTTTCAAGAATCTCTACCAAATATTCGTCATAGTACTTAAAATACATGTCATGGTGAGCAGACAAATTTATGTTTTTGATAAGAAAAATAAGAAGCGTCGTGAATAGATAACAAGAAGGAGAAGATTCTGATATAAAAGCTTTTTAGTTTTCTGAATTTATTTAATAGTTAAGATGAAATTCTTTTTGATTCTTATTCAAATAATTTCAATTTTAAATCTAACTCAATGTCAAACAAAATGTCTTGTTACTTTAACAGTGACTTGTTATTGTCCAAATGAAAATTTTTTAATAAACTGCATCGAAAGTCATCCAACAGATGACATGTTCATTGATTGGTCAACATTTACATTTGAATTACGAGATCATTATAGCTTTAATTTTATAAACTTTACACGTTTAACATCTTCAACATTTACAAATTTTTCATCGAAATTTCCCCATCTTAACATCATTGAATTGAATTTTCTGAATGGAATTGATGAAATTCGAGAAAATATCTTCGGACTATTAGATTATACTTCCAATCCACAAATTAATGTTCGATTCAATTCGCCGAGAAGTTTTCAGCTTGCCGATAATTCATTTACTCCAATGAAATATTTCGAAATAACCATCGATAATATTCAAAATTCTCCATATGAATTCAATTTAAATGCATTTCATAATACAACTGTATTTAAATTAAGTGTTCTTAATACTGAACAAGTTCAGTTCCTTTCAAGTAAACCATTAATACTAAATTGGGACGAAATTTCAATAAATAACGGTTCAATAATCAATCTTAATCCTCTTATCGAAAGTTTATCATCTGATTATTTGGTCAAATTAGATTTCTCTTCAAGTAGTATAGTTCATTTTCCTTCTTTTGTTAACTTGTCAAAATTAATGATAATTGATCTTCATGATAATTTAATTCATGAAATTCATTCAAATCTCTTTTCAAATAATAATTTAGTTTCTTCAATTGATTTATCATCTAATGCAATAAAACGAATTGATCCGAATGCATTTATTCAACTAGATTTTTTATCCGTTTTAAATTTAAATAATAATCAATTAAGAACATTAGGAAGTGAAAATCAATCATTTTTATTCCCATTAAATGGAAAATTACGTGCTTTGGATTTAGCACATAATTTTCTTCATGATATGAATCAAATAGCAAATCTTTCTCATTTAGAAGTCTTAGAATTATATGGAAATGAAATCAAAGAATTAAATGAAAGTTCATTTAGAAATTTACATCATCTTCAATATCTTGATTTAAGTTACAATCAAATTCAATCAATTCATTCATCAGTTTTCGATCATACAAGCATTAGAGAATTAGATTTATCGTCAAATTTACTACCTTCATTACAAACAAATTCATTTCTTTCCAGTCTTTCATCAACACTTGAGACATTATTATTAAAGGATTCTCGAAATTTATTTGAAATTAACTGGTTTGTTTTTACTAAGTTTG